CCCCCCCCCCCCCCAAAAGAAAAAAAAAAAAAGAAAGAGAAACAAAATCACCATTGATCGGCATAACATATTGGGGGTATGCAAGATTCTACGATTAGGTTCAGAAGGTACAAAGAATATTTGCGGAAGATAGAAGAGATCAGGTTCACTCCAGCTTTGTCTTAAAGAAATTTAACACCAATGGCTGATGTGTTTGAATTGTGGCAGAAGAACTTCAATCATTATCTAGAGAACGACTTGGGATGGAATTATATTGCAAACAAGATCAAAAAATTTGTCGAGAAGAGTCCCACCATAATGAAGCTCCTTCATAAACCCTCCAAGTCTAGGAAGGGAGAAGGCGCTGACTTCCTAATCTAGCTCTAAATAGTTAAAACCAAAAAGCCCTTATGAGGAGGTCCGTGTAGCTAATTGGGAGCAAAGTTGCATGATCCAGAGGGTGAAGCCCAAGCGCTTCTCGAGAAAACTGCACTCATGCTAACCTAAGACTGCTAATAGCTGGATGAATGTGAGAGAAAGAAAATATGCTACACTCCACCTTGAAGTGTCTTTTCGTTGGGTCTTTATCAAAGAAGTGTTTGTTAATGGAGTTAAATTAAAGGAAAGTCTTGAGGGTCTGATCTTGCAGAACTCAAAGGTGTCGTGTGATTTGCAAACATTTTATTTTTTGCATTATAATGTGGGGATTATAATACAGGAAATAATTGCGGGACTATTTAATGGATATATACATTTTTTAGATGTTTGGTTCATTGGATTAAAAGGGGACATGCAAGGTGTAATATAAAACGTGAATTTGGTTTTACTTTAGATGAATTTGGATAATCTGTTATTTTTCCATTTTTCCAATTTTAAACATGGCTTTCTTAAAGGACTTTGGGAGACTCTGGAGAACGGTATTTTTATTTGATTATTTTATATTGTTATTCCTTATTTCAACCAAATGCCCCGAAAAAATCCCACATTTTATCCTGGAATTTTCCTTGTCCTTCAATTAGATAGCTCATAAAGGTCCTTAGGTTAGAACATAAAAAGCCAATAGGAAATATACATATATCATCAACGACTAGATTGATTAATAATTCTATTTAGGCAGTCTCATCAAAGTTCCCTTGATGTCATTGTGATTACAATTGGTCCTCCAGCGAACTTGTAACCTACTTTTGTGATATGTAATGGACATTGTTTTGGCTGGATAGGAATGAAAACATAAGGAGGATTTTTTCAATCACATAGTTTTGGTCTTTCGCAGTTGTTGAACATTAGAAGATATAATTAACCCCTTCCTGCATGGGGGCACGTATATTTTACCTTAATTAGCCCTTGTGCTTCTTCTGGCCATTCCTGAACCCAGTTTTGTTGACATTATCCACCCCGGTGTTAGTGTTCTCTCTTTGGAACACTCTCTAATAGTGTAAGTGGTCATACACAGTGTTGTCAAAGGCGAAAAGCTCTAAAAAGCGCTCTACGTCTATTTGGGCTTTAAGCGTAAAGCGCACTTAAAGTGTGGGCTTTAGTTAAAAAAGGCGCAATGAAGGAACTAAATAAAAATTATATGTAATTCAAGAACAAAGTAATAAATTCATTCATAATGTTTCCTTTAGCAGCTAATACACTTATTTCTAATTATAGTTGTTTAGTGCCACTCGATTCAAGAGAGAACTCATGGGCAATGAAGTGCACGCCTTAGTGCCTTGCTTTACACTGAAGCGCAACTAAAGAGAGGCGAAGCGCCCTCCTTGAGCTTTTCTGAGCTTTAGGGCTTAAGCGCGCCTTAAATGAGCCTTTGACAATACTGGTCTTCCAACTGTAATACTCAATGTGAGTCGGCGTGAAATCTCACATGGAGCAATACTAGGGAGAATCGGATTGCTAGTGGAGTTATCAACTTTATGCTAAATAAAAGATTGGAGTTACTACCTAAGGTAAACGTAAACTATCTAGAAAAGCAACTAAAATGATCAACGACGTTCACAAGATTTGGGAGAGCAAGGGATTTAGAATTTAGGATTGCAAGCTCACATTAAGTGTAATTCAATTTATTACCTAATCTCTCACCAATTATGCTTGAGTCAATCTCATTAGCCTTGAATTCTCTATAATTAGATTTTTAATTACCCATTAATATCTCCAATGATTAACGGGTGTATCCTAGTTAACTCTCCCGAGTTCAACCAAGAAGCATTAAGTTCATCCAATTATGCTACATAGTGAAGGGTCTTTTCCGTTGTGCCAATCAAAGTAGTTTAGATTATATTAATCCTGTGAATAATTATAGCCTTGTTGATTAATCTAGACCCAATTTAAAATTTTTCTCTTCCGATTTCAGACCAAAGTAAATGAGGTTTCAAGAATTGATTCACTCAAAGAATCCATACAATGCAAGATTAATCAAATAACTATTAACCCAAATACACTAGGTAAGAATTAAATTAAAATGTAAAGTAAACAAGAAGTTTGTTTGCTATACACTAGTTGTGGAGTCAATATATCAACCCATCTTCCAATCCATACACATCTTCCAAATATGAGAATAACAACTATGATACGATAGATAGAGAGAAAGAAAGATTAGAAAAACTCTAAGCATTGCGCCATATTCAATCCAAGGGGCAGGATGATAAAAAAACAGATCTTGCGCCTAACTCAACCCTAAAAGTTAGCTCATTAGGTGAGGATTGCTCAAAGACCATATAAGAAGACTAATTGTCACATCCACCGCTGATGTGAGATACTAACCCCCCTCACATCCAGACTTGGAAACTAGAGCGTGACAACACAATATGAGGCCCAATATCGGGTAAACCAAGTATAGAGATGGGGCTGGCTCTGATACCATGATAAGAAAAGGATCTTGGGTCCAATTCAACCCCCAAATGCTAGCTCATGAGGGGCGGATTGCCCAAGGTCATATAAGAAGACAAATTACCACATCCACCACCGATGTAGGATACTAACACAACACACTTGAATTTTTCTCCCAAGCTCTGAGTCCCAGCTATATCCAAAGATAGCTTTCCCCTAAGATGAGTATTTATATGATTGTTAATGACCTACAAAATTCCACCAAAAGTACCCCTCCGTCCACTTTAGTGCTGCAATCACGGGCCATAGGCTGTGATTGCAGCAATAGGCGTATTCCCGATTTAGACTAAGTCTCTTTGTGCTGCGATCACGGTTAAAGGCCTGTGATCAGCAATGTTGCTTTTTCCAAATTTGACCATTTCCCTATATACCGTGATCCAACGCATGCCCTGTGATCACAGCAACAGTTGGATTCTTCCGGTTTCTTCTTTTGGCTTATTTTTGGCTTGTTATTTCTTGTTCCATTCAAAACTTTCTCCAGATCACATAAAATCTGAAAATGCACACAATCTTTGATTAATGCTCTAAATTCTTCAATTGAAACATCAAATCTTAAGTAAATGATATTTATAGGTTGGTTTTGCACCACTGACTTTTGTCCTGTTTTGTTAATAATTTCTGTATTTGCTTCATCAAGATAATTTCTGTATCTGTTCCCCACTTGGTCGGTTGACAGCACTGCTCTAATGCGTTTTCCCTGTCATCAAACTTTTTTGGGGATAAAGTGCGCTGTTCGTTCTCTAACTGTTTATACCTCATACTCATGCTTCGCCCACCAAACTGCTTCCTGAGGCTTTTTACTCCTCCAAGCTCCCTATCCATTTGGTTTGCTATCAATTTACAAAATATTCTTTTGTTGGTTTTCTGTCACATGATATTCATTTTTTTTTTCTTCCTCTTTGCTTACATGAATCCTCACCCGACCTTCTCTATTATTCTTCTCTCTTTATGTGCTTCCTGCCACTATGACGTCCCACTTTTTGAAAGGTTTATAGCTGCCACAGTTTTTCATGTCTCTTTCCCACTACCCAGTCCTCACCAGCAGTTCATCTTGCGCAAGCTCTTTTTCTTCCCAATTAATTTTACAACAAAGTATTAAGGGCAATACTTTTAAAACCTGGAAGACCTAATTGTGTTTCTAGTGGATCTCATAACTTAGAATGGTAGAGGAAAATGTGAGAAGATGCTTACGAAAAACAATCTAATATCTATTAATTCTGATGACGAAGAACTGTAAATCTGAGGGAAATGATTCATTTTTATGCATGCGGAATATGTATATGATATTAAATAAGAGAATTTCAGCTAATTGCAACTAGATTGGTAGCTGGAGAGAAAATCTTAATATCTTTGCTTACCATACTGATTTTAACATCTTATTAATGCAAAGGACATTGAGCATAGAAGTATTATATCTATGGAAGGTCCATATCTGTTATGGAAAGGCAAAAGAATTATAATTAATATCTTGGAGGAAAAATAAAGGAATGATGATAATACATTGATAATTGATTTGTCATTGATGGAACAATGATGAGGGGTATAGTTATTGAGCAGTAACCTCTTATGATACTACATGCTTGCCATATGTCTTTTCAGCACTATGATTGTACTTCTACAATTATTTGCCTTTTCTTTTCTTACTTGGCCGCGGAGCCAATGGTAAACTGATATTCAGGATTTTTTTTTCTTCAGATTTTGCCCTTTGAACTGTAAATTTTAATGAGTCTTAAACCAATATGAGTGTCCTCGCAATCGAAAGAAAGAGAGAAGTTAGGACAATGTTCAGTCCATATTCAAGGCTACGAATTACGATAAAGTTCAAATGGGAGCTTGGTAGTGTTTGAGGGAATGAGGATGCCAGAGGAGAGGAGAAGAAGAAGAGAATAAAGAAAAAGTTGGGAGTTGGGTAACAACAAGAATAGAAAGATGAGAAAGAAAGGAAAAAGAAACTCTTGCTATTAGCATTTAAAGTAAAAGTCAGCAGATGGTGTGGGTTCTGTTCTCACATTAGGTGGTGCTTACATCTCTCACTTATTAGTGCGTCACAATTGTTTTTAATAAGTTCTGAGTTGTCTTAAGGGTAAGTAGTGCATGTACTAGGCTCTTTAATTGCACAATTAATAGAGCCTATTATGCTATCACAATATCATTCAAGCTAATCTTTGCCTTTTATCTCTACATTTACTGAGGTTCTTTTTGCTCTAATCAGCCCCCAGTCTATGGATCTCATATTCAGAAGTGTAGTTCCAAATTTGCAGTGCGTCCTTTTATGGATTTCCCTAATAATTAAGAACTAGGATAACTATCTTTTTAATATGGTAAGTCTACACCCCCACCCTCCCCCATCCCCGTTCTGCCTAGAAATCAACTGTGGCCATTTCCCACTTTAATCTCTTGCTTGGCTTGAACTCCCAACCTCTTGGTTGGAAGTGCTGTTGGCATTGGAGCAACCTCACCAGTCATTGTGAACTGGTATGACTCAACTACTATAAGTTGCCAAGTCCAGAAGCATTGCCCATTTGGCTTCTCTCTTTATGTAATTAATAGAGCTATTATTTTCTCGTTGGCTATGGTTTGCTTCCAAGCCTCATTTTCAGGTCAGTCTGATATTCTTATGATTTCCATTGCAGATCACTTGGGATGAACCAGAAGTTCTTCAGTATGCTAAGAGGGTGAATCCTTGGCAAGTTGAGTGTATTCTTCCAACCCCGCAGCTTCATTCCGGATTTCCTCCATCAAAGAAGATAAAACTGCCAAATGGGTTGTTACCTGATGGAGAGGAAAAATTCTTCTTCCCTATGACAGGGCTAAGTAATCCTTTGATTGGACTTTGTAGCCCATCATTGGGCAATTATACATCTTTTCCTGCAGGCATGCAGGGAGCCAGGCAAAATCAAATTTGTGTATCAAGTTTATCCAATGTTAAAAGCAATAACAACTTTGGGTTGGGCACTGACAATAGCTTAGATGAAGAATTCAAGCCGAAGCTTGAGAGTGTATCCACAAAGCTGAACATTGGCAGTTCATATTCAGACAACTTCTCTCCGGATAGTCAGAGCAGTGTACATTTTTGGGACAATGAGCTGGTTACAAAACCGGGTTCCAGCTCCTTGACAAAAGTTCGTATCAATTCTTTCCAGCTATTTGGTAAGGTCATCCATGTTGAACCTGTTGAAGGAGGTTTTGATGGTTTCGGCTGCTCTGAAAATGATAGCATTGAAGTGTTTAAAGAGATAGATGGTGCAGTCAAGTCTAACATTTCTCTGAGTAAACCTTATATCGAGCTGTTTGACAGTATTGATGTCCAACACCAAAGAGCCTCTGCTGTCGAAGCATGTTCCTTATGAGATAGCTATGATCCGTAATTACCATCAATCAGGAAAGCTGTACAGGTAAAGTACTACTTGACTGGACTATGCCTTGACAGAACAGAAAGAGCTACTAGAACTTGCAGATTGATATCTTTACACTTTCTACTATATATCAAATATTCATTTCTGGTTCATTTTATTTATATCTGAAGATATGAGATTTTCGAGTACTAATATTAAGAGTGATCCTTCAAAATTTCTTTTCTAGCCCGCCTGATAACCGGTGGAAATGGATCACCAGTTGCTACAATTACCTATTATTCTTGTGTTAAGAAATTAAGGGAACTCCCATTTTTCACTTTTGGACGGTGGGCATGATTCGATGTTTGGGATATTAAGGTTATTGCTAAGAGGGTTTTAAGAAACTCATGAAATTGAGATAGTGTTCTGTTATAACGGTAATTTCTTGTTCTTTTTATTTTAAATCTGATGAAGTGAGATTTTCAAGTACTAATCTTAATGTTTAAATTACTCTTAACTGAGACGACCTGGTAGGCCAGTGGAAATGGATCACTGGTTGCTACACTTACTATCATTCTTGTCTTAATGATTAGAACTAAAGAGAATTTCCATTTTTTGCTCTTGAAGGGTCGGCATAATCAGCAGTTTGGGATATTCTGGTTACTGCTCAGAGGAGTGTAAGTAACTTCATGAAATTAAGATTTTGGAGTTTGAAATGCTCTCGTGTTGTAGCTTGGTTTGTGTCCTGGTGCAGCAAAAAAGTTACTTATATTCAATCTCTGCTGTGTGTCATGAACTAGTAGGTTTTGAATTTGTCGTGATTTCACGTTAGGCAACACTTTCAGTAGTTTTAATTGCTATCTTACTAACGATTTAACAAAAAATTGGATATTTTGGAGCTTGGGTCGTGTCTGTCTTCCCTTGGTTAAAGTTTTCGATTACAGTTTGATTATGGACTTAATTTCAGCTTGGTGATTCTTCATAACGTTGTGCTTGCAGTAGCCTTTCTTTAATCTCTTGTAATTCTTTGCAGGTATCCAAGGAAGGAGCGGATTCCAGCAGTGGTTCCATTGTGGATTTTTTCTTTCCCTTGGAGATTCAGAACTAGTGCACGCTTGTCTTATATGTTAGATGTCAAGTAAATATGTGTTTGCTTGATAGTGATGCCAGTGCATGAGATTGTATTCTATATGTTCCTGTTAATACGTGTCTTGAAAAATAACCTAATGTCCAGTTAGCCTTTTAGATGCAAAGTTAGAATTTTCTGTGGATGGTAGATGCTTTTTGATGGAGTTTTAACAAATTTCGCATGCTATCCCAATATTTTCGTCTTTTGGTTAATTTTCCAGGTTTGAATACGTTTTACCATTTTCAAATTTCACTAGTGATACATGCCTTTTTTACTTTGAAAATGCACTTATAAATCCCCTTTGAACTTAATTACCAAAAAAAGTTCCCCTTGGAACTTTCAAATTGTCTACTCAAAAGGAAAAATTTGTCACTGCTGCTTCCACTCTGAAAATAATTTTATTCTCCCTCAGCGTTATTTATTATTGTAAATTGGCTAGTCAGTTTCTAAATTTTTCCCTTGAAATAAAGGGTTGTGTTTACCTTTTTGCATCTCTCTTTCTCTACTGATTTGTTTTACTTATTGAATATGTCTAGAATATTGTTCTGAGGACCACAACTTCTACGTGATATAAGTCAGTCAATTATAACAAAATGTATTATGCATTTTAGGATGTTATTGTCACTAAAACCAAGTCCCTCCTGTAGTGTGGCTTAAAATAAATATATGTTACAGATATTATAGTCCTAATCATGATGCATCGACTATAATTCAGTGGTAGCAAAATCTCCTACAACCAATGGATCGGATCGGTATGCCTCATGAGTCATGAACCTTGACCTAAACTTTGTTTCTCCTTATTTTTCCCTTGGTGTATAGTGCCAACTGCCAAAGAGTTCCATAGTCAAAATAAATAAAACATAAAATGTGTACTAATTCCAACTCAGGCAGAGATAAACTGCATTTGCGGTAAACCTTGTGAAAGCAGAGACATACTCTTAGCTGTCCTAAGCTTTTCCGTTAAAGGCAAGAGCACCAAACTAAAGTTGCATTAGCCTTGACAAATGATATGGTATCTTGTCTGATGGAGTCGGAATTCTCTTTCATCTTTCTCTTTTCCTGATTCATCCAAATTGGAAAAATAAAAGATGCTAGTAACCATTTGTCTAAGCTACCTAAAATTTTAGCATATAATGCCCAAATGATGGGAAGAAATTCAAAAATAGCCAGATTTACAAGTGGTCGTTCAAAAATAGCCCAGTTTCAAAAGTAATCAAAAAGTTTAGCCACTTTTTATGTAAAGATAAATCTGAGCGAAAACACTGTTCAAAACCCGAAAAATACACCAGTATATTATGCTGGAGTTCCAGCATAAGTATACTTGAACTCCAGCATATTATAATGGAGTTCCAGGATAATTATGCTGGAGTTCCAGCATAAGCACACTAGAACTCCAGCATAATATACTGGAGTTCCAGCAAAGTATACCGGTCCAGTATAATATGCTGGAAGTTGATACACAAGTGCTCGAATCTCCAGTATATTATGCTAGAACTTTTCGTGTGTTGGAGTTCCAGCATAATTTGCTGGAAGTTCATACACAGGTGCACCGAACTCCAGTATATTATGCTGGACCGGTCTCTGTTGCAGCAAAATAGTGGCTATTTTTCACTGACTTAGTAAACGCTGGCTATTTTTGAATGACCAGTCCAAAAACTGGCTAGACCGTGCTATTTTCACATAAGGTAGAAGTGAACTTAGTGGGCTGTATATACTCTATACCTTCTTGATTAAATCAATGATGATTTTGTTGGTAGCTGGACTCATCCATTTTCTTATGCATAGTAGGTAGAGTTTAATTAATAAAATGCCAAGTTCTTGTGCAAATGCCTGAGCTTGTCTAGAAATGAATATATTGTGTACATCGATCGGCTATGATCATAATAGAATTTACAAAATCTAAAACCCATTTGGTTCTTAATTAACTAGATCATATCATATTATCTATAGCCAATTAACTAGATCATATCACAAATAGCTATAGCTTTAGAAATTAGAGATATCTGCCACAATTTGTCAGACTACCTCAGCCGTGAAAGTTGAAACAAGGCATCGTTCAAAAAAAAAAAGAACACAGTAACCTCCAGAATAGGTATCACTTAGACCAGAATAAGTACAAGTAGTGATGCCATCAAAGGACGCAGGGACAACAGACATGGTAGGAATATCACAGACTTGACAATATAAAACTCATTCCGTTCTGACTGTGCTTTTGCTGCGCACTAATTTCAGGATTATTCAAATTATCAGTAACACAGAAACATAAGTTCCCAAATTAGTTATAACTTAAAGGTAGACAACTCAAGGAGTTACGCAAGTTCTGCTTTTTATCTTAGCAGGAAAGCAGGAAAAACCTAGAATTAAAACTATGGAAACTACGCCCCTCATTTCTTCCTTGAAAATTCTGCAAACTACAGGTCTCCTCACACTGCCAGATTCAGTAAATTTGACTACTCAGAATGCTATATCTTGTTTGAAGAACATGAACATGTGCCAACCGTATCTGGGGGTTTATTTCAATACGCATCAGATCCAGATGCTCCAACGAAATTCCAAAATGTATCATAATCCCTGCTTTTAATGAATCAGTCCAAATGTATAATCAAATTATCGTACTTCACTTTAACATCTTGAACGAGTATCTAATAAAGCACAAACGCTCATGTTGGAAGTACATACAGCTTTTTTAAACAAATAGTACATACACAGTAGTACTCGATTAAGGAGTAAGTCTTCTGCCATCCAGAGATGCATGCATAGTGTTGGATCAAATTATGTGAGATATTACCTTCATGAACTTTTCTGGCAAATAGCAACACCGACAAAAATGGAGAACAACGCCAAAAAAGCTCCCTTTCTTGAGAGCATCAACTCGGTCCAGGTCAAGGGCTTTGTAATCTGAATTAACACTTTCTGGAATTCTTCATGCAAAGCCTCAAGTGTGCCAGTGTTATCAATCACAATATCTGCCTTTGATCTCTTAAGATCCAGTGACATCTGTGCATTTATTCTGCTCTTGGCCTCCTCCTCCGTCGATCCATCTCTCGTCATGAGCCGCTGCAGCTGCGTCTCAGGATCGACCCAAACGACAACAATGGGTTTAGTCCACTTATCCATCTTGGCCTCAAACAAAAGAGGAACATCAAGAACAATAATGGAGCAACCCTTCATCCATAGCTTCAAAACTTCCATTAAAATACCACGTGAGATAAATGGTGCTAGCAACCTGTGCAAACACAATTCCGAGTTCAAAACCTTACATTGGAATAAAAATCTTTTATGTGATGTTGTGCCAATTCAACTCTTGGGCAATCTGAAAAAATTAGGCAAAAGTATTATTCAGAAGAAAAAAAAGAAATAAATTAGTAGCTTAACATATTTTGTCATTGAAGTACATTTTGCTGCTCCTATCTTGTATCTCAAGAAGCCAAGATCTTTTTGAGTGTCAACTTCAGCAGAATTGAAAACTATTGCTACATTGCCATTGGATTGACCTCGCAAGCTATAGTGTACTCAACAAAGTCGAAATTGGTGCTGACACTGTAAAATTCTGAAAACGGCACAATGAGAAGGTAGGCCTCCTTTGCTACCAGCCATGTAAAGCATTCTACTTTATAGGGAGCTTTATTTCTCCAGATCTTCTTCCAAGGCCACAATTAGAAGGATGAAGGGGGTTTGGTCAAAGTGCTGCAGCTAGACTTTACATAGAAGAGACAAGTGGACGATCCCTTCCAAAGCACGGTGTCTGCCTGTCTGGTTGAAAGGTGATACAACTGTTGAGGAGCTCTAGAAGAAGAAGCACCCTCCAAGTCCACACCTAATAGTTATTTCCATCCCTAGTAAGATTTAATGTCTGCAATTACTGCCTTGGGACTGGAGGAGATGTTAAAGAGTTGAGGGAATTGCTTTTAGGAGAATAATCTAGCCTTATGTATTTCCAGAAGCTTATCTTACTCCATCCCCTACTTGAAAGCTAGCAAGAGGTTGAAACCTGTTCCATAGAGCTGATGTGCTTCCAAACTCCATGACCATGGTGAGAAGAGGTTTTTTTTTGGTAGTTAATGGCATTTCTGCAGAGTGCATTCTCCTCAAGATTGAGTGCAGATAATAAACTATCCTTTCTTACAGCAAATGTCGTTCTTTTAGCACAACTTGCAATCTTGCAATTATCTTCACCTTTATGAATGGAAATAGCTTCAACCACGAGGGATTTATTGGCCTTCATTTTTCAAATAGCTACTAAATCCGCCAATCCAAAAAAGATGATTACTTTTTACTGACCAAAGTCAAATAAATGTCATTGATAACAGCTGTTAGAAACATTTAGTTTAATATTCTGAAAGACAAAAGTTTAATAATCTAGTGTTTACTTGTAGTTTCTATTTCTCCAAGTTCATCCTTAATGTCACTCCCAAAATTGGTTGATGAGGAATCTCAAGATCCAGGTGCAGAAAAAAATGTCTCGTTAGTGTGGAAAGAGAAACTAAGTTCTCAAGGAAACTCCAAATTCATCACAGCATAGCAAACCAGAATCAGCTATAGGAAGAAGTTTTTCAGATGCATAGCCTTTCTTCGTAAGTTTTGATTGTTTTAAAGGAATGGCCCTGAATCCTTTTTTATTAATGTTACTCTGATGAAAATAAGAAAAATAGGGGGAAGTACTACTTTCCACTTCTTTTGGATTGACTATGGTATCCTATTGAAATACTGAATACAGAACTAATCATGCGTGGATCATTTTCATAACAAACTTTACCTATTAAGAAGCTGACGCTTTCCTGGATCAGAGAATACTATTTGACCTAACTTTGCACGATCAACTTCTCCATTGTCCAGTAAGATGTCCTCACCAAATGCAGACACAACTTTTTTCCAACCACCAGTTCCTTTCTTCAAAACGTTCTACATAATTTAATATTTTGTCAGTAAAGAGCTTTATCCAAAAATTTACACAAAATTTAGTGGTATGCCGAAATTCAACTGTTAACAATAACAAACCCAGTGTAATCCTAAAAGTGGGGTCGGAAGATGATTGTGTACGCAGACCTTACCCCTACTTGTGAAGGTAGAGCCCAAATTCAACAGTTAATTAAACATAATATTTTGAGACTCTTTATATTTGATGTACTAAATAAACCTAGTAAAAGAACAGATAAATCAAGAGGAAAAAGTAGTTACACGAGCTACAATATCAGCATCGACAACAGGAATACCATGAGCTTTGAAAAGATTGGAGACAGAACTCTTCCCTGAAGCAATTCCTCCGGTCAATCCGACTATCCTCATTCTTACTTCGAGAACAAATCAGGAAATGAAGAACAACTCTGATGCTGATCTCAGTTACTTCCTCTGCTGCTCACGATTCCATTGACCACCTAGCTTCTTGATTTCAAATTGGAATTTGACAAAAGTTGCAGGTTCATTGCCAAGAACATTAAGTACATAATTTCTACTGCATGCTAAAATTTTCAAGCATTGTAAACACCACATGTCCCATCAGCAAAGGTAAAAACATTTTCAAGATTAAAAAAATGGACCTGTAATCCAAATTGGTGGAAAGCACACAAACATAAAGAAAGAGTTCAATCAGCTAAGTAGTTAATGTTCTTAGAGAAGTAATATTGTACCACTTAATCAATGAAATCATCCATGCAAGCTCACTGCATCAGTGGAGAAATTTTGTTAGTTTACATATGAAATAAGCTAAGAAACTCAAAAACATAAAAGTGAACGGTGTTATCAAAGGCGAAAAGCGCAAAAAAGCTCTAAAGTCTGTTGGGGCTTTAAGCGCAAATAAAGTGTGGGCTTTAACGAAGAAAGGGGCAAATGGAGAAGAACTACAAATATGTATGTGTAGTCCAAGACTAATATTTTTAAGCATGAATACCAAATATATGGACAAAGAATTGAAGAAAATATACGACAAAATGAAATATCAATTGTTTAGTATTGCCTCTTCCAGATTACGCTCATTAGCAAGGAAAAGTATGCCTTAGAGCCTTGATGACAACCAGGGGCGAAGCTATGTTGGTCCAAGGGTGGTCAACCGGACACCCTTCGCCGAAAAATTATACTATGTATAAGGTAAAATATTACTTGTTATTGATTAAAAATAGACTTTGAACACCCTTATTGAATTTCCTGGCTTCGCCACGGATGACAACACTGAAGCGCCCTAAGCAAAGTGAAGCGCTCAACATGTTTTGAGCCTCACTTCAGGGCTTAAGCGCGCCTTCGATAACATTGAAAGTGAACAGAAATACAAGTAAGCTCCTAGATGGTTTTCACTTTTCAAGAAAAGCATATTCTCCTTTGATAAATATTTTTCAAGAAAAAACATATTCCATGGCAACTGTTGGATGATTTCCGAAATAACATGTCAAAGACAGCATATTCAACAAAAAAATAATCAAGCTAAACATAAAAAGATGCTAAGGTGCCAGTGGCAAAAGGTGGAACTTTCCTCTTTGGTGGCAAGGGGTTGAACCCTATTGGTAACACATTTCAAAGAAAAAAAAAACAATCAAGCTAAACCTTTACATCATTACAGTTTTCTAAGAGAAAGAAGCTAAAACCACTATTATATCATAATTAAGAAGAACAAACAAATTTAAATGAGTAAATCAGAACTTGTTCTAGAATACGTGGGGAAATGTCACAGTTTTCAAATGTTTGATACAGAATAAAATGCTTAATCTTTATGAATAAACAGGATGATAAAATTGGTAGAGATTGAAAAAAGTAACAGGTCAAAGGTTTAGGATCAAATTTGTTAATTAGGACCCCTAGTTTATCCACCCATAGATCCACATGGGGATCAGTCAACACTTTTGTTTAAAGTATTGAACTAATTCGTACTGTAAAAACCATAAACACAACGAAATCTCCAAAACACTATAAGCAAATATTTGTTAAAAGGCTGACTAAAACAGAAGAAGATGGAAATGATCAATGAATCCATACCTTCACTAACTGTAATACATGAATATCGGCAGGCGGCTATGCGAAATTATACCCACCTCTGTCCCGGGGATTTTCACAAATGCTGCTGTTTATAGAGAAAAAAAGCCAAAGAATTCCTCAATTTTAGGCTTTAAATGAAAAAAATAGTCCTTATTCTTTAACTTGAAGCACTATTAACCCTCTAACTTTGCAAAATAGGTGCACTTTTAGTCCAAGCTAACAAATACCGTCAAACGGAATCCAGTAAAATACTTGCCCAACTCAAGCCACTCATTTCCTAATACATTTTTTTTCAACCAACTTATTGACTCATATCTTTCCCCAAAGGGAAAAGGGTCAAATTTACCCATCTACTTTGCGAAATGGATTAAGTTTACCCTCCATTAGTCCATTATACTATCCGTTCAAAAATATCCCCGATGTTATACTAGCGGCTCAAATATACCCCTCCTCCATTAGAGGGGTCCAAGGTGGACACCCAATCCCACGTAGCACTGACATCTTGGTGAGGTGGATACCACGTGGCATGGCACCTCACTGGCCCAACCCATTTTACCCTCCCTCTCCCTCTCCCACTTCTTCTTCCACCACTAGCAGTTCTCCCCCTCCTCCACCATTACCATCAACACCACCATGACTATTGGACTCTGATATAATCTACAAATCTAAGTAATTAATAATACTGATAGATAATACTTGTGTATGATAAGAAAGCAAAATATTCAGTAAATTACTTAATAGTAAAAATTGCTTTCGAAGGGCTGATATCGCAATATGAAAAATTCCATTTTTAAGGCCATAATATCTTTTTCTCCTTCTTATCAGTTCTCAAAACAATTATTAGGATTCGTCAAAAGGAAAATCAATATACCCAACAACTTCAGACCCATTATCACATGAAAAGCAGATAAGAATTGCATATAATTTTATCTTTTTCAATATATGTGAAATTTCATTTTGCCTAGACACGACTAAATTAAGAAAAGATTAAAATATTTCAGAGGTGTAAACACAGAATTAGTTTCTAAAAAAAAAAAAGTTATTCCCTATTTCCAAAAACCAAAACACTGAAACAAGTATTGAATTGTGAATGAAGCATTTGGGCCAGTTTACAATAAAAGTAAGACAATTAATTTGGAAAAAGGAAGAGTAAATTTACTTATGGAAAAACACATTCCATATTAAATCGTCTTCACAAAGGAGAACATATTTAAGTAGAAATCAAAAGAAACTCGATTAAGAAATGGCAACATAAATAGGAATTCGTTCAATTTCCTTTCCATGAGAGAGAAGGAATCTTAGAGGGAACTTACAACTTCGATTTCAGTGGAGAGGAGTACGCATAAAAGTTTGCTGCCTAAGAGAGGAGAATCTACTAATGGCGGAGCAGGAGAAGTGGCGTCCACCTTGCTTATTTTTGAACGAATCCTTTTCATATTTGACCCCTTTCTCTTTCGAGTCCGAAACCTAAATGCCAACTTTTTGGACTCAAAACACGTTTCTATAGTGTAAAAAAAAAAAGTAACTTTTCTATATAAAACGCGGTATTATGCCGCGTTTTACTTTAACGGAATTTTAGCCGTTAAAGTAAAGCGCACTATAATACCATGTTTTATATATAGCGCGATATTATACCGCGTTTTACTTCTTTTTAGGCCCACCAATAAGTGTTCTGCGGTTAATTGACATAACAATAATTCAAATATATAAAGCGCGGTATTATACCGCGTTTTACATAATAAAATTCTGCCCCCCGAGCTAGGACTTGCCTTATTTAAAGGCGTTAGGATTTTAAGAAAATCCATTCAAAAAATATTCTAACTTCCGTTCATACTTTTCTTCTTGTTATCAAGCATTTTTTTATAATGTCTTAAGAGCCAAAAATAAGGGTTTCATCATATTGGGGGGTGAGGTTGTAATGGAGAATAACTCTGTGAGGTATACTTTATCTCCACAGTGTCATGTTAAATTGCCGCTTACAATGGAGTATGATAAATTGGTATCATTGATATGTAAAAGAATGATTGTGAGGAAACGTTCGGTGAACCTTAAAGTAACTGGTAGATTTCCGCATTCTGTGACTCCGCAGGGGTTTGCTATTATTCTGAGTTTAACATCGAAGATGATGAAACTCTTAGAGATTTTTTGCGGATTCCGGATGAATACAGAGAATTTATTGTAATAAAATTGTTGGAAATGTACGTCAAGGTTGAAGACGTTCCAATAATGAGGTTGCCGGACAGATTCCTGATGAAAGAGTTTGCCTTGATTTAAACTTATCATCACCGGCGATTGAGCAGCGAGGAAATAATTTTCCGACTTTACATAATCCACAAGACGACTGATAAACTCCAATTTTTCTACGCTTTAGCGATGTTTATTTTATGTTGAATTGGATTTTTATTATCACTCATATTTTCCACAGGGGGTACCGTCCGGATATGAATTTTACAAGTTATTACCTCACTCCTAGTTGGAATACACGTAGACGTAGTTCTGGCGTGTTGGATCACGATGGTCCATCCGGGAGTCATCACGAACAAGAAAATGTCCATCATGGAATGTCAACACAGTACGACTTGTAAGTGAAGTGATATAGCTATATGTAAAGTATTTATCAATTTGAGTAGCTTATCATTTTGTTCTTTTTGTGCAGTGAAAACGAGCAACTTGATGTTCCTGACCTCACACAGTTGCCCGTAGACGACGTATTAATTCGAGATTTGGCAGATGCGCAAAGTCGGGAAAATGATAGTGATTATGACAACAATGCCGATGAGTCTGGAGATGACACACCCTTCCCTGATGAGGGTGATGATGAGTGTCGCGCCCCGTTTTCTCGCGAAAGCGGACTTCGACATGTGACAACTCTATTAAATGGGGTATTAAAGAGAGAAGAGTCGCCACCTAACAATTTTTAAGGTGCGTTAGGGCACCTATTTATAAATAACTCTGTTTGACTAGTTGCGTCACCAAAGATCGGGTAAGGGCTCAAATTACCTCAAAGAGAAGGTGTTAGGCACTCTTCGAGGTCCACAACTGTGGTTCCCGGCCGAATTTACACTATGTGGAATTATTGAATTAAACTAGGATGTAGATTGCTAAGTTGTGAATTAATCCTAAATGGTCAAGTATATACACCAATTTAAAAGCAATTAATTAAAACTAGTAAATAAATAAAAAAATGTAAGAATTGTAAATCGTAGAAAGCCTAATTAATTACATAAAAGGGGGACCTAAATTTTTAAGCCTAATGGATCAACTCCCGTGCAAAGCCTGCTGAGACTTTTATAGCCAAAAGTGCAATGGCTATTCGGGCAATTGGTGTATCATGTCCGCTACCTCCATTACTATCTTTGAGTTGTTACCTAAAGCGTACTAGTTGATTCTAAATCGCGTCTTAATTCAAAACTACCACCCATCCTTTCCTATAGTCCAGGAGGCTTTGGACACTATTCTAAAGGGATGGTTCTAGACTTCAAATAAATCTCAAGTTTCTATTTCCATTCTTATTAGCGTAGCACATTGGGACTTAAACAAATAACACATAAGGCAAGTAAGGGCTCATATTGACCTCCGAATTAATTAAGCAATAGTTAATGTAGTAAAAATGGTCAAGTGTACTCTAAATTATGATAAGTCTTCTTGAATAAGACTCATGATATAAGCATACGCATAAAGAAGTGATTAGATCTAAAGAAGTCAAAATATGAAGCGGACATTGGGCTAAATTAAAAGTTGTTCTGAATTAATTAAAAGGAACAGAAAAATGTGAAGGCTTAGAAGCTTTGGTCAAAGACAAATGACAGGTCTTTATCTTTTAAAGTGAGCGCAACATACTAGTAAAAAAATGTTACTGAGGACCAAGACACCACAGAAAGCTCAAATGCAAAAGCTATCCAATTTAACGTGTTAAGAGGTTTTCAAGAAGAAACGAAAGCAAATAAAAGCAGGTAATCACATAGCACACAAGCATGAAATATCCTTTATCCCAAGTAACCCCGTTTCACAATTACATTCAGTTATTACATGCTATCTGAATAGGGCTTATAACTAGAGCCTAGGAAATTAACTGAACTTCAAACTTTGGCAGACTCCTCATAGACTCTTATGAGCTTTCCTAATCCCCCTGTTACTCCAAACTCAGGTCTGAAGAGTTGAACTTTGGCCAAACTATCAAGTCTAGGCCCCTGCAACCGAACAGAAGCAACAAACGCACAAAGAAAGCAGACAACTTGGACTATTTTCCAAAGAAACAATTTTGCTATTATTAGTTAAATCATTATCTTCTAAACACATAATCTATAGGTGAATATGTCCAAGTTAAACCAAGTCAAGGAGAAAAACAACAATAGAAACTTCACAGAAGCATGAATGAATGGCGTAGGTCCTAAAAAACATGATATTGAAGTGATTGAATTGAATTCAAACATCCCAGCTTGTCGTATTCAACAGCAAATAGGTTCTATTAAGTAAAAAGTCATGATATCTAAATGATTAAAATCCTAATAGCATGGTATCTAACAGTGAGAAAATAGGCAAATACAAGTCATGACTTTCAAGCAAGAAAATCCTGGAGTTCATTCTTAAGCATTGAAATCTCAAGCATTAGACACCGAGCTAACTTCTTTAGGTCTAGACAAGGTTATTAGGTGATCGACATGTTCACACTATTTCATTCGAGCATATGGCAAGATGTGATGTCAATTCAAATTCATATAGTTAGACCTAAGAGGTGACTTCTAATGTACAGCGAATCAGGGATCCATACGAGGGGCACAACACATAGGGGTTAAGTGATGTACCTGGTTATTAACTTGGCATGCTCGAAATGGAATGTCGCACAACATTCAGCATGTCCAAGTGCAAATAAAGCGCGCAAATAGAATAAAAGAGATGAAAATTTAAGAGAGGAGAGGACAAAAAAACTAGTCTATTCTACCATACAATTAACACATAAATAAATTAAGATGCGTCGTTCAGGAACTAACGAG